GTCTCTGACTTGGTGAGAGGGAGGCAGTAGAGGAGGGATGGGAGGAGAGGAGGAAATAAGCTTCAGGTGTCATGAGTAGGAGAGGAGACAGTTTTGTAAGGTCAAGGGTCAAAGGTTATGTGAGCAATATTCTTACCAATGAGTGATATCACTCCTACACTTCAACTACTTCTTTCCATGTCCTGTTTGTTTCCACCAGCTGGTAATGCTGGCAGTATCTCTCTGATATTAGTCACATCCGAAGGCTGTGGAAGACGACGAACTACAGCAGCTGAGGAAATATTTTGTAGAAGCTGGAGGTTGTGGGCTGCTAATGACCCTTTGCACTGTACACGAACAGTGTAAAATTTCTCATCTAAATCGTCTGTGAATATCCACTGGTACCAGTGTTTTTCAAGCCTAGAGTAAGGATATAACTCTTTTTTCACCATTGATATACAGTCTATTGGGAAGAGCATGTGCCAGTAGTAACTCAGTGTATTGGTAAGTGTCAGGGTAGTGAAGGGGAGAAAGTGGCTTAGGAAACAGCAGGGTTATGATGGTAGTGGGGTATGGTGTCATTTACTAGCCTGGGGAGAGAACAGTTATTCTGCCAACCACAGCTTAGAAAAGCCCAGGTATTACCCAACCGACACATTTCAATTATACAATCAGATCCATTAGAAACATGATTTCCCAGATACTGAGTTTTTGGGCTATCTGGTCCTTAGTTATGCCGTTCCGCTGCCATTTAGTTCTGGTCAACAGCTATAAAATAATTGGACCGTTGCCTCCTACTTTCTTGCCTGTTGGCATGGATGTGAGGAGCGGGGCTGTAAGCAGCGTGTTCGTTAACAGTCGGCCGGGTGAATGATTATAGAGAATCTACGCGTCCGGCAGCGCCATGCAGGCAGGACATGCGGCTGTTGGTGAGAGGGAGGCAGTAGGAGGGTGGAGGGAGTGTGGAGGGAAAAGCTCGGTGTCATGAGTAGGGAGGAGGACAGTTGTATAGAGGGCCAGGTTGATGTGGAGATTTCTACTGGTGATTCCTTACTTCAACTATTGCTTTCCATGTCTGGTTGTTTCCACCGTGGTATGCTGGCAGTATCTCGATATAGGTCAACACCGGCTTGTTAAGCCGACCTTTAGCTTGCTGAGGAGATGTTTGTAGAATGAGGTTCGTGGGGCTTACATCACTTTCTAGCATCTGTCATCATGTCATATCTATCGAGTTTTCAATTATGTCCTTGGTGAGGTCTTTTACATTTCCTAGGGACCAAGGCTCTAATATGTTAGCCTAGAGTTGAATAATTCTCTGTGTTGTTCCACAGTTGATATACACGTGTATTGGGAAGGTGGCCAGGAGAGTAGAAAATGGAGAGTAGAGGGAGGAGGGGAGGGGAGGGATGGTGAGTGGAAAGAGGAGTGGATGGACGGATGTAGACTGAAGAGAGGAGGGGATGGGTGGATGTAGACTGGAGAGAGAAGGGGATGGATGGAAGTAGACTGGAGAGAGAAGGGGGTGGATGGGATGGAGAGTGGAGAGGGGGGGATGGGGAGGAATATAGAGTGGAAGAGAGGGGTGGATATGGAGAGTGGAGAGAGGGGATGGAAGGATATAGAGTGGAGGAGAGGAGGGGTGGATGATGGAGAGTGGAGAGAGGGGATGGAAGGATATAGAGTGGAGAGAGGAGGGGTGGATGATGGAGAGTGGAGCGAGCGGAGAATGGAAGGGAGGGAGTGGAGGGGGTGGTGGATGGATGGAGAGTGGAGGAGAGGAGGGGGTTGGAGGATGGCGCGTGGCGCGGGTGTGTGTTGGCGGATCTCTGGGGGCTGGCTGAGCTGGAGGGGCTTTTAACGCGTCAGTGTATGAGAGAGAGGAGGAACCGGAACCTGCCTTTTAGCTTGCATTCGATTAGGAGCGGATAATCACTCATGATCCACTCTTTCTTCATGCATCTTTCATCATGTCTTCTATCTGATGTTCAATGTATGTCTCTTGGGGTGAGGTCTTTTACCCCGTTTCCTAGCAGGACAATCTCTAAATAGAAATGTTATTGCACGGATATAAATATTTGGCTTTTACCTGTGAGTAGGACTACGCTCTCTGAGTGCAGAGTCAAATTGCTGATTGAACGTTACGATGTGACAGTCTGGTATGGTAGTGGAAAGACGGATTCCCTGGTATAATGTAGACTACGTTGAGGAGGGGGCGATGGGCTCTGGCAAGAGAGAAGGGATGAGGAATAGTGATTGGACACAGGCTCTGCTATCGCATGTGACTCGAGAGGAGGACGGAAGAGGGAGTCAGAGTGGAGAATGGAGGGGTGGATGATGAGAGTGGAGAAGGAGGGTGTATGGTGGAGGTGGAAGGGGGTTTTGAGTTAAGGGGTGGATGATGCCCTGAGCTTGGGGGTGATGGTGGTTGGATGGATTGGAGTTTGGCTGGAGAGTGAGAGGGCGGGGGTGGATTGGAGAGTAGAGAGGAGGGGGGGTTACAGCGGTTTCGGGGGACGGAACAGAGAGACGGAGGAGGAAGGCAAGCCTGGGGTTCATCTACACCACGCCTTTAGCTTGATGTAGAGAGAGGGAGCAGGATAGATACATCTACAGTGGAGTCTCACCATCTATTCTTTCTATGCATCTGTTCATCATGTCATTCTATCTGAGTGTTCAATGTATGTCTCTTGGGGTGAGGTCTTTTACACCGTTTCCTAGCAGGACAATGCTCTAAATAGAAATGTCTGATTGCATAAGGACTATAAATGCTGTGCTGCTTTATAGACCTAGTGAAGAGTAGGGCTCTCTCTCTCTCTCTCTGATCAGCTCAAATTGCTGTTGATCGCTTCCACTTCTGACAGTCTGGCTATGTCTCAAATGGCACCCTATTCCCCTATATAATGTACTACTTTTGACCAGGGCCCATATGGGCTCTGGTCAAAAGTAGTGCCATATGTAGGGAATAGGGTGCTATTTGGGACACAGCCTCTATCTATCTCATGATGACTTCACATCAGCCAGGCAGACTTCTTAATGGGGATAAAATGTGGCAGGTGAAATTCTCCAGGAGAAGATAAGAGAAAATGGGGGGGGGGGGGCATTGGGGGCTGTGAGAGGAAAATACACCTTTTAGCTTTAATCAGGGACAATGATTAATGTTTCAATTGTGAACCAGTGACAGGTACAGAGCGTGTCAAAGAAAATGGTCTCCCTTTCTGTGCCTTCTTCTTCTTTGTGAAGAATGGTGTGCAGGTGACGAGAGGGAAGGATGGAAGAAGGGAGACGAGGGAGGCAATTTAGTGGAAGGCAGGTGACACCTCGAAGGCTGACATGACAGGCCCTTTCTGGGCTGGGCCCTGATTGCACGGCTTGCGGCGCTGTTTGCCTTTCCCTCCGCGACAAAGACGAGAGGAAGGAATTAAGAGATCTGTAATTGTAACCTCAGCAGTTAACAAAAATTCACACGCCGGCTTCTTCTCTTTGCCTCTTCTGGAGCGAGGGAATCAAAGAGGAGCCGGGTGTCTGTGAGAGGCGCTCGGTATGTGTGTGTGTGTGTGTAGGGGGGGTGAGACTGCACTTTAAAGGAGAAAGCCGCAGAGCGCTCAAAGCTTTCTGCCTTTACCTGACTGACACACCAGACAGCACCCACACACAAGTCAAATCCTATTTCAGCTCAGAGGTTTCCAAGAATTCTTTCTGATCTGACCCAGTTCTGTCTTTGTGTGAGTAAAGCAGTAAGACTGTCTGTCGTTAGACCGAAAATGGCTGGGTTTCTTCTGGGTTTCTTCTATAAAAGGGTATTATGGGGTAACTGTGTCCATACATGGAGACATGTAGTAGAACAAAGGACTAGGTTACAATTCTGATGTTGGGTACTGGAGCAATCATGAAGAAACTCAGGCACCTCAGAACCACTTTAGGGCAATACAGTCTGTCTGGGTGGGAGGGAGGGAGGAGGGTTGTGAATGCAGAAGGTAAGGAGACACTACTTTAGAGAAAATCTGTTCAAATGTTCTCTACAAAGATTCTCTGAGACCCAAAGAGCAGCGTTCTAGTGAAGTGTGATATTGAAGTCATACAGAGACCATTTTAGTCAAAGAAGAAGACTTCAGAGCACGGTCATATAGTGTGTGTACAGTAGGCATCTGACTACAGTCTGTATGTACGTATACAATATGTATTTTGATTGACAGTATTTCCTGGCATGAAGCACTTGTAACGCACTACCTGCCCCCCCCTTTGCCCTCCCCACCTTCACCCCGACTGTAGCAGTGGAAAAATCCCATTCCCTTAATTAAACATGGACCCCCAGGACTGGAGCGTAAATGCAATTTGTAACGATTCCCCCGCCCGCCCCTGATTATACAGAGAAGGGCTCTTTATGCTGACCAAAGCCTTCTGACAGCACTTAATCTTCCATTGGAACCCATTAGGAATGGACCAGCCCCCCAGTCTTCCCCCAGCCTTCCAAGCCCACTACCCTCCACCCTGCTTAGCCCCTCCAACCCTCCAACCCTCCACCGCCCTAAACTCCAACCTTTCAGCCCCCCATCCCTCCAACACCCTCCCACACTCAAGATTCCAGAAAATTCCCTCTGAGAGATTTAACATTCAGGCTGAATACTCCAACCATAACAACAAATCTAAGTGGGGTAGAGCAGGTTAGCACACAGTAGAGCAGGACTGTGTATAGCTGAGGCCCTGACTGACTGCCCATAGTAACTGGAGCCTGGTGGTGGTAAAACAGTCCAATTAAATACTGCATGTGAATCACTCTCCAACTACTCCATTATTTAGGGAGGCTAGTTAGAGTGTTAAGGGAGATTTGAGATATGGTTCATGGGGAGGTTGTAGGAAGTAGAGGAAGCTAGGGGTTAGCAGGACAAGACTTTATATGACTCAGTCATCCCCAACATCATCTAGTCCAAGAGAGTGTGTTGTACTACCCCACCCCAGCATCATCTGGCCTAGTGTATGTGTGTATGTGTGTATGTGCGTGTGTGTGTGTTACTACTCACGTTGACAGACTCGCGGCCGCCGTATTTGACGCGCATCCTGGGCTCCTGCACAACATCCAGATTAGTTCCTGTCACCATCAGAGGAGTGTGGCCGCTGTTTCCCACACACACACACACACACACACACACACACACACACACACACACATACACAAACACAGAGATAGAGAGAAGTTTTACAAACAAACACACCAGCCAACAACAAGACCTTCTCTCCAAAACTTCCTACCCTGCACAACCCTTTGTGGAAACGTTTTTACCTCAGATAAATAAAAAAAGCTTCAAACTAACTTGTTCTTTGACAAGGCGTTTTCAGAAGATAATAGGCTTTTGAGGTAAATAAATGATTAAAGATGCTTTTAACTGACAATCAAACACAGCTAGCTGCGGCGCCGAGGTCGCTAGTTAGTTTGCAGCGGTCGTAGGTACGTGGCTCAACAAAAAAAGCCAGGCCGTGCTGACCTAAACAACACAGACGGACAGGACGTTATCGTGATCGGGACTGTTATTGCGGCTGAGCTGAAGTTCAGTGTGTTATATTAGTGACCAGGCTAGCCAGGGCTGCTGGGAGCACTAGATGAGCATCACATAGACAGAAAGTCAAAGAGTAATCAGAATATGTATGTGTATGGTGCTACTGCAGTATCATCACCTACAGTCTAGCGGCTCTGTAGTAAAACAAGAGTTATTCTGAGATCCACTGAACAAAACGGAGATAGGGTGTTACATAGCTGTGCGCCAGGTAAAAGATACTCATGTGTTTGATCTAATGCATGACACACATATATCTCAGTCCTCCCTGTTGATCTTAGCTACGCATTCCTGGGTTGTGTTTATGTACACTGCACCCTGGCAGCCCTTTTGATTCCCAGGGCTGAGAGAAGGAATGGGGTGGTGCTCTCGCTTCAGAAAAGAGAGAATAAGTTTGACTAAACAATGCGGTGCCCCTCCCCTCTTCTCTCTGTCTCTCAGCGGAGGGAGGGATGGAAGACATGCTGCTCTGTCTTCTCTTCCAGACTAAACTCTCAGCTGCCATCTGCTCCACTCTCACACCTCTGCCACATGTTCACAGTCCTCTCTCCTCTCTCTCTCTCGCGTCTCTCCTCTCTCTCGCTATCTCGTCTCTCTCTCTCTCTCTCTCTCTCTCTCTCTCTCTCTCTCTCTCTCTCTCTCTCTCAGCCCTCATCATCCCTCATCATCCCTCATCATCCCTCATCATCCCTTTCTTGAATTACATTACAAACTCCGCCTGCCTGGGAGATGCTGCAGCGATGCTTCCCAATCACAATCACTACCACTACTACGTCTGGCTGTTGTCTGACTACAGCTCTGCACTATCTAACACTGACTCACCCAAGCCAACTCTTGCTGTTAACTAGCAGTGCTGGTGGGATTAGTTTGATGGTGGGTTCTATGAAGGACTAGGGAGTAGAGTGGGTCCAGTTACTGATGCTCATATCTAGGAGTGGAGGTGTTGATGTTACCTGGCGATGCTCCACTCTGGCTCGATGCGCTGTACGGTGGGGTCCTCGATGTAGTCAAAACTCAGGCTCTCCTTGACCTGGGCCCGGTCCACACTCACACTGATCTGCACCGAACCCACCCCAGTCAGGGAGGGAGCCGAGTAACACACAATCTCTGTCATGGTCCGCCTGCACACACACACAAACACATATGCCAACATACATTCAATGTCTGCATCTCTTCTTTAATCATATTTCTTCACCTTTCTCCATCCCTCTCTATGGATCCCTGCACTACCTGCCCACCCACTGAAACTAGCCCTGTTCCTTAGCAATCCCCCATCCTCCTCTCCTCTCATCTCTCTCTCTCCACGGTCAGAATCACAGAGAGAACAATTAGCCCAGATCTCATTAAAGCTGCCTTGACTCCTCAATCTTACAGCATTACAATGAGACCTCCGCCCTTCCCTTACGCTGCACCGCTTTAAATAGATATAGAGGGAGAGAGAGATGAGAGGGAGGGAGGGATGGAGAGAGAGAGAGGGGTAGGGAGCAAGATGGAGAGCATGAAAGAGACAGGTAGGGCGGGAGAGAAAGATAGATATATAGAAAGAGAGAGAGAGAGAGAGAGAGAGAGAGAGAGAGAGAGAGAGAGAGAGAGAGAGAGAGAGATGAAAAGGAAGCAAGAGAGAGCAGATCAAATAAAAAAAAGTAAAGGTAACTGAAAAAGGGAAAAAATCCCGGGCAGGGGAGCATAAGGTTGTCTGGGGTCTATTATTAAAGAGGTTTGATGCAGTGGGTCATCAAAACCTTATTAAGAATTGCACACGTTTCTGACTGGGAGAGAAGGAGAGATGCCCCTAGGGGGCTCTCACTTAGATGAAAAAGAGTGAAAGCGAGAGAGCAAGAGAGAGAAAGAGTGCAATAGAGAGAGAGAGAGCGAGAGAGCGAGAGAGAGAGAGAGAGAGAGAGAGAGAGAGAGATCCCACTGGGTAACAGCACAATTTACATAATTTACCTGTATTTATTAAGACTGAAGTTTTGAAAACCATTACAAATGGCTTTTCTTTCTTCTAACTTCTCTGTTTTCCACAGGAGGAGAGATCGGAGAGTAATACAGTATGTATTTTTTATTTTTTTATTTTACCTTTATTTAACTAGGCAAGTCAGTTAAGAACAAATTATTATTTACAATGACGGCCTACACTGGCCAAACCCGGACGTCGCTGGGCCAATTGTGCGCCACCCGATGGGACTCCCAGTCACGGCCGGTTGTGATACAGCCTGGAATCGAACCAGGGGGTCTGTAGTGACTCCTCAAGCACTGAGATGCAGTGCCTTAGACCGCTGCGCCACTCTGGAGCCCTATACCGAGCCACAGCAGACAATTAAACTACCACAAATGAACTAGTCAGTGTAAGTAGGAGAGGGGGTGAGATGGGTCTCTCACTTACCCGTAGAACTCGCAGGTCTGGTTCCCAAAGAGGACGGTGACACTGCTGCCAGCACCCAGGTTCTCCCCCATGATGGTCACCTTGGTGCCCCCAGACTCAGGCCCTCTGCTGGGGGAAAGGCCCTGCACCGATGGCATCTAGAGGTGGAAGGGAGACAGGAGGGGGAGTGAAAACAATTGTTCTCTATCACTGTAATGCACTCAGCTATCATACACCTCCTGTCCCTCTTAACAGTACCTTCTACTCTATACCGAGCCACAGCAGACAATAATAGCTTTCAACTGCCCCGGTCCGTGGCATGCCCTCCCTCTGCACCGCGACCCCATGTAAAGAGGGAGTAAAATAAAACCAGGAGCTTTTAAAGTCCCTCTGCAATCCTACTCATCCTGTGTTGTGTTGCTGTGTTCTGCATTGCTGAGTTCTATTCCATTGAACCTTTAAAACCTGAAAATAACTAGTGTTTACAGTAGCCCCGCCCAGTCGGCCTGCCTGTCATCAGTGAGCACACAGACAGACAGACAGACAGCTGGAGAAACACCCACACAGACAGACAGACAGCTAGGCTGGAATGCTGAGAGACACTGACAAAACAGAGTCGGACTGCTCCTCAGCGCCGCTGACACAATTAGATGGACACACACACACACACACACGTGCGCGGAGAGTGTTTGGTTGTCTACAAAATTGAAGAGAGCTTTTGTTATGTGTCATTTTCTTTAACGGGGCTGTGATATTAGGGAATTGCAGGTAAAGTACTGTAGTAGCCACATACAGCGCTGTGATGATGTCGCAACTCCCTGAGCAGCAACACACATTTTTGGTGTCAAAAGTGTCAGTGCAGACACACAAACGTCACACACACACACGGTTCCTCACTCAGTGCTCTACTAGTCAGGGGATAGGCTAAAGCGCTACTCTGAAAACAGTTCTAGTAATTACTAGCGGTTGTTAATTGTTAAGTGGTGGCTAATTGGGAGTGTGTGAATGGGAGTGTTGATTATCAGTTAGCTTCAGGCTAGCTTTAGTATGGGTGAGATACAGGTGTGGATGAAGGCAAGTGTGGAGGTGTTCATTCAGGTATTCTCTTAGGGTTTACTACTGTACGACAACACCTACTGTTGACAACACCGATTGTCTATTTAATCACTGCTGATTCCCTGGGCATCTCTGTGGTAATTACTGTGCAATTATGTATTTCAACATAACATACTTCAGGAAAAGGCTTCATCATTTCAGTGCATTGGTAGGCCTTATTCTCTGGTTTACAAGACAACAATGGTGGTCGACATTGAAGAAAGCTTGAGGAATACTTCTCTTCCTCATTCTGAAACGTTTAGAGTTTTAATAGTCATCAGCCAGTAGTGTAGAGTTATTGGTTATTTTGCCAAGTGTATTACTTTTTTATTACTATTTGTATGTCAATGTAAGCGTAAAAAAACGGTTCTAATTTCAAAAAATACTTAAAACATAAAATATTAATGATAACAGTGTCTTACCACAAAGGCGTAGAGTTGGGCAGAGTGAGTCTTGAGATCAGGTCTGCACTCCCCAACACACAGTTGGACCGGGCCAGGCTTGCTGTCTGCTGGGGCAGCATCCATCTCACAGACTATCCTGGAAAAACACACAAAACACACACAGTCAAACACTCAACTCAGGCAATAAAAAACCCACTATCCTGGAAGACTACACACAGAGTCAGACACACTATCCTGTAATGAGGAGACGAAACACAGTTAACCAGACACCTAAAACAGTGCTTCACAAACAAGGAACACAAAATCACAACGCTATCTAGCGCATCTATTCAGTTTTGTACAATACAATACAAGCTCAATGCACTGAATACAGTTTTCAACACAAAACACATACATAATTGTGTTCTTAGTCATCCATTCCCATAGCCAGTCCCTGTTCTGACTTCACCAGGCAAGCTCTCATACATATGGTGGACTGGGAGGATAAAAGTGATCATTATGCTCCTTTACTCTATCAATCTCATCTTGTTTCTCAATGTAATCTTCTCTCTGGCTCTCTGATTGCTTTACATGACACATCCAAGGCAGGCCATTTACAAAGGCATTTCACTGTACTTGTGCACGTGACATTAAAATGTGAAACATAATTGAACTGGACACCTCGCCACATACAGCTTTCAGAAGCGTACTCCTCCACCAGTCGCCACACACCTCCACACCACTCATAGCAGTAGCCCTATAACTTCCTGGGGAGTGGAGGGGACTAGACATCATAAATATCCCTCCACCAACAAGCCCCCTGCCGTGCTGATCAAGCTCCAGCGTCGCCGTAGCAACGTCAAATGTATTTCACAGTCAGGACCCCTGCCGACACCCCATGGCGGATCAATACAGCTTTATCATAAGGCGTGATCAGGTGTCTCCCACCGCCGGCAGGTGGCCAGATCAAATGACATAATAAAACCAGGAGGCCTATCGATCGACGCTCGTGGAGAGTAATAAAGAACAAGAATCAATCATGGTGTTGAGGGAGATGAAAAGAGACGGAGAAAGATATAGAGCGAGAGAGAGAAAATGAGAGAAAGAGAAAATGAGAGAGAGAGAGATGGAGAGTAGGGAGGCCACATCATTGTTTCTCTAGTGCTTATCTCCTGAATCACAACTAATGAGGCCTAGAGAGCTCCTGGCTGGGCTGAGAGGAAGAGAGAGACTCCTGGAGGATTTACTTAGGCAGGGACAAGTGTTTCCCCTATATGCAATCGTGGCCGCCACTTCAAAACATAAATAATAATAATAATATACTATATAATAATATACAGTGATGGAAAAAAGTATTTGATCCCCTGCTGATTTTGTACGTTTGCCCACTGACAAAGACATGATCAGTCTATAATTTTAATGGTAGGTTTATTTGAACAGTGAGAGACAGAATAACAACAACAAAATCCAGAAAAACGCATGTAAAAAATGTTATAAATTGATTTGCATTTTAATGAGAGAAATAAGTATTTGACCCCTCTGCAAAACATGACTTAGTACTTGGTGGCAAAGCCCTTGTTGGCAATCACAGAGGTCAGACGTTTCTTGTAGTTGGCCACCAGGTTTGCACACATCTCAGGAGGGATTTTGTTCCACTCCTCTTTGCAGATCTTCTCCAAGTAATTAAGGTTTCGAGGCTGATGTTTGGCAACTCGAACCTTCAGCTCCCTCCACAGATTTTCTATGGGATTAAGGTCTGGAGACTGGCTAGGCCACTCCAGGACCTTAATGTGCTTCTTCTTGAGCCACTCCTTTGTTGCCTTGGCCGTGTGTTTTGGGTCATTGTCATGCTGGAATACCCATCCACAACCCATTTTCAATGCCCTGGCTGAGGGAAGGAGGTTCTCTCCCAAGATTTGACGGTACATGGCCCCATCCATCGTCCCTTTGTTGCAGTGAAGTTGTCCTGTCCCCTTAGCAGAAAAACACCCCCAAAGCATAATGTTTCCACCTCCATGTTTGACGGTGGGGATGGTGTTCTTGGGGTCATAGGCAGCATTCCTCCTCCTCCAAACACGGCGAGTTGAGTTGATGCCAAAGAGCTCGATTTTGGTCTCATCTGACCACAACACTTTCACCCAGTTCTCCTGTGAATCATTCAGATGTTCATTGGCAAACTTCAGACGGGCATGTATATGTGCTTTCTTGAGCAGGGGGACCTTGCGGGTGCTGCAGGATTTCAGTTCTTCACGGCGTAGTGTGTTACCAATTATTTTATTGGTGACTATGGTCCCAGCTGCCTTGAGATCATTGACAAGATCCTCCCGTGTAGTTCTGGGCTGATTCCTCACCGTTCTCATGATCATTGCAACTCCACGAGGTAAGAACTTGCATGGAGCCCCAGGCCGAGGGAGATTGACAGTTCTTTTGTGTTTCTTCCATTTGCGAATAATCGCACCAACTGTTCTCACCAAGCTGCTTGGCGATGGTCTTGTAGCCCATTCCAGCCTTGTGTAGGTCTACAATCTTGTCCCTGACATCCTTGGAGAGCTCTTTGGTCTTGGCCATGGTGGAGAGTTTGGAATCTGATTGATTGATTGCTTCTGTGGATAGGTGTCTTTTATACAGGTAACAAGCTGAGATTAGGAGCACTCCCTTTAAGAGTGTGCTCCTAATCTCAGCTCACTACCTGTATAAAAGACACCTGGGAGCCAGAAATCTTTCTGATTGAGAGGGGGTCAAATACTTATTTCCCTCATTAAAATGCTAATCAATTTATAACATTTTTTACATGCGTTTTTCTGGATTTTTTTGTTGTTATTCTGTCTCTCACTGTTCAAATAAACCTACCATTAAAATGATAGACTGATCATTTCTTTGTCAGTGGGCAAACGTACAAAATCAGCAGGGGATCAAATACTTTTTTCCCTCACTGTATATATATACACTACCGGTGAAAAGTTTGGACACACCTATTCTTTCAAGTGTTTTTCTTTATTTTTACTATTTTCTACATTGTAAAATAATAGTGAAGACATCAAAACTATGAAATAACACATATGGAATCATGTAGTAACCAAAAAAGTGATCAAAAGAAATCAGCCAAGACAAGTCTGGTTCATCCTTGGGAGCAATTTCCAAATGCCTGAAGGTACCACGTTCACCTGTACAAACAATAGTATGCAAGTATAAACACCAAGGGACCACGCAGCCGTCATACCGCTCCTAGAGATGAACGTACTTTGGTGCTAAAAGTGCAAATAAATCCCAGAACAACAGCAAAGGACCTTGTGAAGATGCTGGAGGAAACAGGTACAAAAGTATCTATATCCACAGTAAAACGAGTCCTATATCGACATAACCTGAAAGACTGCTCAGCAAGGAAGAAGCCACTGCTCCAAAACCGGCATAAAAAAACCAGACTATGGTTTGCAACTGCACATGGGGACAAAGAACGTACTTTTTGGAGAAATGTCCTCTGGTCTGATGAAACAAAAATAGAACTGTTTGGCCATAATGACCATCGTTATGTTTGGAGGAAAAAGCCGAAGAACACCATCCCAACCGTGAAGCACGGGGGTGGCAGCATCATGCTGTGGGGGTGCTTTGCTGCAGGAGGGACTGGTGCATTTCACAAAATAGATGGCATCATGAGGAAGGAAAATTATGTGGATATATTGAAGCAACATCTCAAGACATCAGTCAGGAAGTTAAAGCTTGGTCGCAAATGGGTCTTCCAAATGGACAATGACCCCAAGCATACTTCCAAAGTTGTGGTAAAATGGCTTAAGGACAACAAAGTCAAGGTATTGGAGTGGCCATCACAAAGCCCTGACCTCAATCCTATAGAACATTTGTGGGCAGAACTGAAAAAGTGTGTGCGAGCAAGGAGGCCTACAAACCTGACTCAGTTATACCAGCACTGTCTGGAGGAATGGGCCAAAATCCACCCAACGTATTGTGGGAAGCTTGTGGAAGGCTACCCGCAACGTTTGACCCAAGTTAAACAATTTAAAGGCAATGCTACCAAATACTAATTGAGTGTATGTAAACTTCTGACCCACTGGGAATGTGATGAAAGAAATAAAAGCTGAAATAAATCATTCTCTCTACAATTATTCTGACATTTCACATTCTTAAAATAAAGTGGTGATCCTAACTGACCTAAGACAGGGAATTTTTACTAGGATTAAATGTCAGGAATTGTGAAAAACTGAGTTTAAATGTATTTGGCTAAGGTGTATGTAAACTTCCGACTTCAACTGTATTTAGCCACCCTTTGCCTTGATGACAGCTTTGCATACTCTTGGCATTCTCTCAACCAGCTTCACCTGGAATGCTTTTCCAACAGTCTTGAAGGAGTTCCCACATATGCTGAGTAAAGGACAATGACCCAACACACCTCCAGGCTGTGTAAGTGCTATTTTACCAAGAAGGAGACTGATGGAGTGCTGCCTCAGATGACCTGGCCTCCACAATCAAAATAAATAAATAAAAATAGTATGTTGACTGGAATACAGCTTGTGATGCAAACCACACTAGTCCGACCAAGACAAGACTAACAGGGCAGAGAACAAACAGGTTGACAATGTGTGCTAACTTCTGCTAAGTCAAGGATCCAGACCACTACCACCACTACCTCAACACTACCCACACCCCTCCACACCCCTACCCCTTCTTAGTCACACTACTACTGCTGCTGGGGTCCCCAGCCAGGTTTCTAATTTCCCCCTCTGACACGTTTTACACTGCAATATAAATGAATTCACTCCAGCAGTGTCCCAATCGGATTAAACTGCTGTCAGATCGGTGCACTGCTGACAAATGGTCCCCTACAGCCAGTGTGACATGCAGCGCATTTCAATTATACACCCACACAGCCAGCCAGAGCTGGAGCCACACAGCCAGACCTCCCCAACCACTTACGGTGCAGCCCCAAAAATACAACTTTACCCCACACAACATCAACTTTACCCAATCTAGCTACCAAAGTCTATTTCAAAAGCCTCTGCCCTAATAACAATGGCCAAAACATTTGCCTCCTGGATGTTTAGAGTATAACACATGCAAAGCAAAGCACAACCTTTGTCGAATTAACTCCTATGACAGTTCTCTGATTTGCCTCAGTATCAGTGCTGAGGTATACCTGATGTGGGT